CACACACACACATACACACACACACACACACACACACACACAGTCACAGACACAGACACAGACATATTATTGCTACAAATATACCCCAGTGACTTAAGACTGGTTTTGTGCTCCAGGATCACATATATGATTGGTCATACATTTACATAGTAATATATTCATATAATTATATTGTGGTTTATTATTAAAATTATTTTTAGCAGTTTCAAGTAAAGTCTAGAAATTGTCCTGCTAATTGACAGGCCTCATTATAAGCTGTGAAATGACTATAAAATGTATCAAATGAACAATGAAATTGTATGTTTTTTTTTTTTTATTTAATTGAAAATTACGTTTTAATTAAAAACATTATTGGTATAATTTTATTGGCATTATCTAAAAGACTAAATTTACATTAGTCCTGTGAAGTGACTCAAAAACAATAAAATAAATAAATAAAATAAAAAAATGGGCAAACTCTTGGAGATCTTTTATGTTGCAACTGCAAATGTTGCAAAAAATATCTAAAAATACATATAAAAAACCTGCAAAAAATCAGACTTTTAACATAAAACCACAATGTTAAAAACGATTGTGTCCAATCATACATGTCCATTAGGTGTTTTTCATTAGGTGCCCATTAGGTGTTTTCTGCAGGAAGCTAACTCAGACATTGAGTATTGTTTGTTTGAATGTTGCAGGTACATCAGTGAACTACGGCTGGTTCGAGTTCATGGATCAGAGGGCGGGATTTACACTTTCTCAGCCTATCACATGTATGGATCTGTCATTCGGTCATTCACCGTCCATGTTATATGTGAGTTCAGAGGACTGATGGGATTTAACTTAGCATAAATTGTTTATTTTAATACAGTCTTTATATAAATACAGTAAATCTCTCATTTAGGTAAACCAGTGATAGTTTCCCAGGAGGGGCCTGTTGATGGACAGGTGCGGTGTGTTGCTTCAGGATATCCTGTCCCAAAAATATCTTGGTATTACTGCGAGCCACCACATGCACGGTATGACTCACAGACTTCTATAAGCCACTCACACTCAACAACTGTACAATAGTGTGCATCTCTAACGTATGTTATGCAAGTACCAGAGTAAACAAACTATTGCATAGTCATGATCTCATGAGACTGCAAAAAGCCACAAAACCTAACATTTGGAATAGAAAAGTGTTTCTTACATAATCAAATATGGTAAAAAAATATTTGTCATATTCTTTTGGCTCTAAATAGCATTTATAACCTCTGACAGGTGCTCCCACCTGTTAAATGCGACGCAGGCAGATGAGGAGTTCACCTTGGTAACAGTGTCAGGGGCAGAATTTGGACGAAACGAGGTGGAAAGTCGACTTAATGTCACCAAAGGAAAATTTCACACTCTTGAGTGTGTGGCAACAACGCAGGGAGAGCAGGCCTACACTCTCTTTTCCATCAGTGGTGAGACTCCCTCAAACACACATTTACCTTGCTATCTAAATGAGGATATTAGACCCTAGATTTTTATTGTTTTATAAAGCTAATCATTAATATAGCAGTAAACACTAATAATCAGGATCCAGAAAGATAACACATGTTAATACAATACAGTTGTTACAGCATAGTAGCACAGCAGTTCAGCCTCAGGCCCAGAAAGAAGACGTTTTACCCAAGACTTTACCCAAACCCTAACGCTGCTTTCAGCTCCTTTGGGAAACTGCTGTTTACAAGTTCAGAAGTCATAATTACAATGTGATGTGTTTTCAAGTGATTTTAGTAGGACAAAATGGATGCAATTTCATGTTTATATTCCTTTTTTTCACTTACTGATAAGACAGGAAGCTTTTTTTGCACTAATGCAACAAAATGAAAAGCAGAGTATGTGCATTAGGTTTGTAATAGATGTTTTATTTTGATGTATAGAATGATTGGAAATGTAGTTTTGTCACAATCATTTGACCCTCAAAGAAAGAATCATTTTATTCAAATTTTTCTAATTAGCATATTTTTTCTAATAATTTTATTAGTAATTTTATTCAGCAAAGGATACAATATATTGGACAAAAATGATAGTAAAGACATTTATATGGTATGAAAAATTTCAGTTTAAACTAAATGCTTTTCTTTTGAACTTGATATTTTCTGTTGTATCACCACGTACACAAAAATATGAAGAAGAACAACTGTTTTCAACATTGATAATAATCCGAAATGTTTCTTGAGCAGCAAGTCAGCATATTAGAATGATTTCTGAAGGATCATGTGACACTGAAGACTGGAGTAATGATGCTGAAAATTCAGCTTTGCATCACAGGAATAAATGACGTTTCAAAATATGTTAAAATAGAAAAGAGTTCAATTGTAATAATATTTCACATTATTATTGTTTTTACTGTATTTATGCAGATCAATTCAGGCTTGGTGAACATAAGAGAAAAAACACAAACAATATCAAATAAATTGTACAGTCAACATTTACAGTTAGTTTAGCTTATTAGCTTTTAACTAATTATTAGCTCATTTCTCCAGACATACCAAAACAAGGTGGACCATTCTTACAGTTATTGAGAGCAGTAGATACACACACACACACACACACACACACACACACACACACAGCTGTAACAGATAATCCCTGAATGTTCTCAGACACACACTGAGCTTGTTGACAGATACGAGGGATTATGATTTTGTGCAGCGTGTGCACATTAGGTATTGAGACTGATGCTAAGCTCTTAAAATCCTCTGAACAACAGCTTTAAAACACTCACATACAACTCTAGCCTTATTAATATGGCACAGTGAATTAAGAAGTATTATTCTCTAGCTGTTTTAAACACAGATGTGGTGTTTATATATGTATATTGATTGATGTTTGGACATATGTTTCTCTCCCCAGAGAGAACAGTGCCCCATAAACTCTTCACACCTCTGTTGTCTGGTGTTGTGTCCACTGCTGTTCTGCTCAGCTTCTTTTTGGTGGTTTTGCTCTACAAATACATGCAGGTACTAAGTCATAACACTCCTACTAAACGCTATGAAGTAGCACAACATCCAGTTCTGGTTTTATTTATTTCACTTGTATTGTTCTGCCATAGAAACCCAAATATGAGATCCATTGGAAGGTGATCGACAGTTTTGATGGCAACAATTATACCTACATAGACCCAACGCAGCTGCCTTATGACCCCAAATGGGAGTTTCCACGGGAGAGACTGCGCTTTGGTAAAAGCATATGCACAAAAATTTAAGCGTCATTATTTAATCAGAGTAAACGCAGCTAAAGTGCTTGTTTCATAATTCCACAACCTTTACAGTACTACAGTTAATACATATATTGTACATAAACCACTGTTCGAAAGTTTAGGGTCAGTAAGAATTTATTTAAAGAAATTCATATTTTCATTCAGCGAGGATGCATTAAAAAACCAAAAGTGTCAGTAAAGACATTTCTTATGTTACAAAAGATTTGTTTCAAATAAATGCTGTTCTTTTAAACTTTCTATTCAACAAAGAATCCTGAAAAAATTTATTTGGTTTCCTTAAAAATATTAAGCAACACAACTGTTTTCAGCATTGATAATAATAATAATAAATGTGTCTTGAGCAAATCAGCATGTTGCTGAAAATTCAGTTTTGCCATCAGAAATTAATAGCATATATATATTATATATTATAATATATTAAAATAGAAAACAGTTGTTTTAAATTGTAACAAAATTTCACAATAGTACTGTTTTTACTGTATTTTTGATCAAGTATAAGAGACTAAAAAATCTTACCGACCCCTAACCATTGAATGATAATGTATGTACTACGATTAAAAATCCTATAATACTATATAACAGTACTATAATCATACTATATAATATATAGTGTAATATATAAATGTTTGTTGTTTATCATGATGAAGGTAAAATCCTCGGCTCTGGAGCATTTGGTAAAGTGGTGGCAGCTACAGCATATGGACTTTGCTCAGCTGACACAGTGACCACTGTTGCTGTAAAAATGCTAAAACGTGAGTATTCATGTTTATAACGACTCCAATCACTGGTTGTCAGAAAATAAAACTTGGGTTTAATGTTGTTTTCCTACAGTATGTTTTTAATCTAATGTGTTTATGTATATTTATCTCTCGATGTGTGTATGTGTGTGTATCTGTGGATTTTTCCCAAAGCGAGTGCTCACTCCACCGAGAAAGAGGCTCTAATGTCGGAGTTAAAAGTTCTGAGCTTCATTGGCAACCATATAAACATTGTCAACTTGCTTGGTGCCTGTACAGTAGGAGGTACGTGATTAATACTGAATCAAGACTGGTGACAGATTAAAGATACTTATGAGTTTATAATAAGATATGTTTTATGTGCCTTTTCCAACAAGTCATTCCAATCACATATTATTTTCTTTCTTCTGGTTGAAACACAACAGATGTTAAGTAAATGAGCTGCTATTTTCCAAACAAGAAAAGTGGAAGGGGATTTATACTGACCACAAAAGTAGAATAAAAGTAGTTATGGTTAAATTTAAAGTTAAAGCTTTTGTATAGCATTGTATATAGCCTATTTAATAGGCTTCAGAAGACTTTGATTATAACATATACAGAGTTGTACAGAGACTTGCTACTGCCAATACATCCACAACATGCTGCTGTGAGCATGTAAGAAATATTGCTGCTGCAAATATAACATAAATGAAATAACCCCCATATAGCATACATGAATCACCTCGTAGCAGATCTATACAGGTGGAGCTGGGGAAGGTGGAGGGTTTCTGAAGCAAGCTTCTACGGCAAGCACTAGTCATATATTTGAATGTTGAGCAGCGAGCTCATTGGCTACTGATACAGGAGAGAACCAATCAGCTGTGCCATGTGATGATGTCATTAGGTCAGATTGAGTTAGACCTATCTAACTCAGCGCCATCTAGAGTTTCATGCCAGAACTCTGTATTTGTATGAAAAAGAGCAGCTCAGAAATTCTGCCTAAACAGTCTCCTTGAGGATTATTAAAGTGACATTTTCCAACAGGCCCCACTCTGGTGATCACAGAATACTGTTGCTATGGCGACCTGTTGAACTTCCTCAGAAGAAAGCGGGATGCGTTTTTCAGTTCCAAAACAGGTGATGGATATTACAAAAATCTGCTCAGCCAAACACAGCCTTCGAGGTAAGATATGTGTGAGAAATGTGGTGAAGATGTATAGATGTCATTTGTTAGGTTCTCGTAATGTAATACACTACCTATTATATGCATGCGTGCACACAGAGAGGGCACTGATAATGGATACATGCCTATGAGGTCGTATCAGAAGAGATCGAATCAGACAGGTAGGCTCATCTCGAAAGAATAAAAGCAAACTACAGCCACTTTTACCACCAACATCCATTATTTAATGCTTTTCAATCTGTATCACTTCTCTCAGAATGGTGCGATGATAAAGATGATCTCTCTTTGGATACTGAGGATTTACTCAGCTTCTCATATCAAGTGGCTAAAGGCATGGACTTCCTCACATCCAAAAATGTAAGTGTGTATTAGGTTTATTCGCCTCTCAAGTTTCAGAGTGGGTTGAACAGACCTTGTAACGTTATCCTTTCTGGATGCTCATATAGAATCAGCACAGATTTTTTGTCTCAGTAGTGAATATGTACTTCATAACATGTTTTTTGACTAATAAATTGCTGTTATCTGTGTTGCCATGTATTTTAAGTGTATCCACAGAGATCTGGCTGCCAGGAACGTACTACTGACTCAGGGTCGAGTAGCAAAGATATGTGATTTCGGTTTGGCACGCGACATCACTAGAGATTCCAACTACGTCCTGAGGGGAAATGTGAGGAAGTGCTGTAAATCCTCTACCACACTCACACCTACTGTCAGGCTATATATTAATATCAAATATATTTAGCATTTTTAGATCTCATGTAGTAAATGAGCCGTTAAATTCAAGGAATAGTTCATTAAATGAAAATTCTGTCATCATTTACTCAACCTTATGTCATTTCAAATCTGCATGGCTTTCTGTCTTCTGTGGAACACAAAAGAAGATATTTTGAAGAATGATTCAACTCTATTTGTTCATATAATAAGTCAGTGGAGTTCAAAACAACACTGGACCTCACTGACTTTGAGAATATCTTCTGTTTAGTAAATGACTGTGTTGAGTGAACTATCCCTTTAAGTGTATGTATATGATATTGCTTAATAACATATTACTCAAAAAAAAAAGAAAAAACGTTAAAGCATCGTTTAGTATCATGAATGTTATGTTTTCTCTCTAGGCTCGTTTACCAGTGAAATGGATGTCCCCAGAGAGCCTGTTTGCTTGCGTGTACACTTTTGAGAGCGATGTCTGGTCCTACGGCATCTTATTGTGGGAGATCTTCTCTCTGGGTCTGTATGAGCTGGTATAAGGCCTATTAAAAATCTGATATTTAATAGGCCTGATCTTATGAAGGTCTTATGAGGTGAAAATCTGCCTGCAGGTAACACGCCATATCCGGGAATTCCAGTTGGATCCACATTCTATAAGATGATTCAAGATGGATACAGAATGAGTGAGCCGGAGTTTGCTCCAAGTGAAGTGTAAGAGAATTTTACATTTCTATAAAGAGCCTGCAGTCAGTGTTTTATATTAAAGGTGGGGTAAGCGATTTCTGGTAGCCAATGTTGACATTTGAAATCACCAAAACAAACACGCCCCTAGCCCAAAAGGGTCTCGCCCCTATTTTGATAGCTCCACCTCACACATACGTACGCAACCCAGGCAACGATTAGTTCTGTGAAACAAAGCAAAACCAATGTTACACCATGTCTACACCGGACGCGAGTGGCGCAGCACGACAAAATACTATAGAACTCATTATAATCAGTGATGCTGTCTACACCATAGATATA